GGCCCGATTTGCCTAATCAGCCAAGTTTTCATGAATTAATTGTTGTTCGACTACCTAACCTACCTAACCTAACCTAACCTAACTTTTTCGGCTACCTAACCTAACCTAACCTATAAAGATAGGTTAGGTTAGGTTTGGTAGGGTTGGTTAGGTTCTGTCATATATCTACGTTAATTTTAACTCCAATAAAAAAAAATTGACCTCATACATAATGAAATGGGTAGCTTTATCATTTCATAAGAAAAAAATTAGAGAAAATATATTAATTCAAGACAACTTGGCTTATTAGGCAAATCGGGCCTTGCATAGTAGGCTGAAAAGTGAGTTCTGGCTACTAGGTACGACATATATATATATATATATATATGTCGTACCTAATAGCCAGAACTCACTTTTCAGCCTACTATTCAAGGCCCGATTTGCCTAATAAGCCAAGTTTTCCTGAATTAATATATTTACTATAATTTTTTTCTTATGAAATGATAAAGCAACCCTTTTCTCTATGTATGAGGTCAATTTTTTTTTATTGGAGTTAAAATTAACGTAGATATATGACCGAACCTAACCAACCCTACCTAACCTAACCTAACCTATATTTATAGGTAAGGTTAGGTTAGGTAGCCAAAAAAAGCTAGGTTAGGTTAGGTTAGGTAGGTTAGGTAGACGAAAAAACATTAATTCATGAAAACTTGGCTTATTAGGCAAATCGGGCCTTGAATAGTTGGCTGAGAAGTGCGTTCTGGCTATTAGGTACGACATATATATATATATATATATATATATATATATATATATATATATGTCGTACCTAATAGCCAGAACGCCCTTCTCAGCCTACTATTCACGGCCCGATTTGTCTAATAAGCCAAGTTTTCATGAATTAATGTTTTTTCGTCTACCTAACCTACCTAACCTAACCTAACCTAGCTTTTTTTGGCTACCTAACCTAACCTTACCTATAAATATAGGTTAGGTTAGGTTAGGTAGGGTTGGTTAGGTTCGGGCACATATCTACGTTAATTTTAACTCCAATAAAAAAAATTGACCTCATACATAGAGAAAAGGGTTGCTTTATCATTTCATAAGAAAAAAATTATAGTAAATATATTAATTCAGGAAAACTTGGCTTATTAGGCAAATCGGGCCTTGAATAGTAGGCTGAGAAGTGAGTTCTGGCTATTAGGTACGACATATATATATATATATATATATATATATATATATATATATATATATATATATGTCGTACCTAGTAGCCAGAACGCACTTCTCTGCCTACTATGCAAGGCCCGATTTGCCTAATAAGCCAAGTTTTCATGAATTAATGTTTTTTCGGCTACCTAACCTACCTAACCTAACCTAACCTAACTTTTTCGGCTACCTAACCTAACCTAACCTATAAAGATAGGTTAGGTTAGGTTAGGTAGGGTTGGTTAGGTTCGGTCATATATCTACGTTAATTTTAACTCTAATAAATAAAAATTGACCTCATACATAATGAAATGGGTAGCTTTATCATTTCATAAAAGAAAAGTTAGAGAAAATATATTAATTCAGGAAAACTTGGCTTATTAGGCAAATCGGGCCTTGCAAATTAGGCTGAGAAGTGCGTTCTGGCTACTAGGTACGACATATATATATATATATATATATATATATATATATATATATATATATATATATATATATATATATATATATATATATATATCGTACCTAGTAGCCAGAACTCACTTCTCAGCCTACTATGCGAGGCCCGATTTGCCTAATAAGCCAAGTTTTACTGAATTAATATATTTTCTCTAATTTTTTTCTTATGAAATGATAAAGCTACCCATTTCATTGTGTATGAGGTCAATTTTTTTTTATTGGAGTTAAAATTAACGTAGATATATGACCGAACCTAACCAACCCTACCTAACCTAACCTAACCTATCTCTATAGGTTAGGTTAGGTTAGGTAGCCGAAAACGTTAGGTTAGGTTAGGTTAGGTAGGTTAGGTTGTCTAAAAAACATTAATTCATGAAAACTAGGCTTATTAGGCAAATCAGGCCTTGCATAGTAGGCTGAGAAGTGAGTTCTGGCTACTAGGTACGACATATATATATATATATATATATATATATATATATATATATATATATATATATGTCGTACCTAGTAGCCAGAACGCTCTTCTCAGCCTACTATGCAAGGCCCGATTTGCCTAATAAGCCAAGTTTTCATGAATTAATTGTTTTTCGACTACCTAACCTAACTTTTTCGGCTACCTAACCTAACCTAACCTATAAAGATAGGTTAGGTTAGGTTAGGTAGGGTTGGTTAGGTTTGGTCCTATATCTACGTTAATTTTAACTCCAATAAAAAAAATGACCTCATACATAGTGAAAAGGGCAGCTTTATCATTTCATAAGAAAAAAATTATAGAAAATATATTAATTCAGGAAAACTTGGCTTATTAGGCAAATCGGGCCTTGCATCATGTAATGGTCCCCAGTTCTATATGCAACTGAAAACTCACACCCCAGAAGTGACTCGAACCCATACTGCCAGGAGCACTTTGCTGGCGTACAGGATCCCTTAACCGCTCGACCAACACTAGCGGACAAAAGAAGATGGTAGCCGAGGCTATTTCCATCCCCCTACCGGCACTCGGTTGGTAATTTTGGGCATGGTATTTTATCAAATCACCTCATTTTTTGGGGCACACGTGAGGAACACAAATGCGAACAAGCCAGAAGGGTTCCCAGGACTATATGCAACTGAATGAGTGATTTGGTAAAATCACCCCAATGAATGACGTGATTTGATAAAATACCATGCCCAAGAATACCAACCAAGTGCCGGCGGGGGGATGGAAATAGCCTCGGCTACCATCATGGTAGGTGGCTGTTTTGTTTACCAGTGGCTGTTGCGTTTACCGGTGGCAGTTGGGTTTATCGGTGGCTGTTGAGTTTACCGGTGGCTGTTGGGTTTACCGATGGCTGTTGGATTTATCTGTGGCTGTTAAGAGTTACTGTAGACGTTTGCGAGCACAGGTAGTGGTGGTCGACCTACGGTGAGGACAGGTAGAATGGTGGTAGACCTACAGTGAGGACAGGTAGAGTGGTGGTAGACCTACGGTGAGGACAGGTAGAGTGGTGGTAGACATACGGTGAGGACAGGTAGAGTGGTGGTAGACCTACGGTGAGGACAGGTAGAGTAGTGGTAGACCTACGGTGAGGACAGGTAGACTGGTGGTAGACATACAGTAAGCATTATGACCGCTTGAAGGTCTTCAGTTGTGCCTTTCTGTCTGTTGTTTCGTACTTCCGTGTTCCCATATTGAATGGATGACCTGACGCGCGATATCAGTTCTTTCCTTTGATCCGTTTATGCGTTTCTGTCCAGCCTTTGTCTGTACATAATATAAAGAATTAGTACCAACTGGTAAGGAACACCAAAGAATGGAAGTTACTGAAAAGATGTATTTAAACTGGCTTTCTGACTTTCGAATCGCATGTGTGTGTTGTCCTCTCGATATAACTCATTATTTCCTTATTCGTAGTTTTTCCCTCTCGCTTTTCTCATTCTCTCACTCATATCTCTCATCTTTTCGTCTCATTGCCACGCAGCTTATCGGATTCATCTTCCCTTGCAGAGTCATTTCCCTCCGGTCTCTTATCATTATTCTAATTTGGTCGTGAGGCGGCCTTAATATCATAACGTGGCTCTCTCTTCTCCCGAAAATGCTGGGTGCTGGCACGGCGCTCCTTCTGATACCATCAACATACTATATACCATATGATACTACATATGATACCATATGATACTACAGCCCAACTGGAGAAGGCAAACATGTTTGGTTCATGGCGTTGTGTCGTGTGGGGCAGGGAATGCCATGCTTATTGCAGCGTCAGATGTTATAAATTCATGTGGTAATTATATTGAATTGAAAAAAAATAATAATGAATAAAATACATCAGTTGAACCCCTTGAAGCTATCTAATCTATGAGACGATATATGCAAGATATTCTTTCCTATGATAAAATCCCAACTGTTGACTATCTCACCGAATCACCAAACAAATCGTCAATCTTGAAAGAAAACATTAATATCCAACCCATCAGGTAATATATATGAAGTTGAAATTAATGGAAAAAAATTTCTTCGCAAGACATGAAAAAATTTCAGCCAAATGCGCAAGAAAACTAACTTATTTACGGAATGAAGCGAATCACTGAGATGCTTCAGGGTGAATACCACTAAAACCATATCTGATCTATAACTTGGTATTACTCTTGATAGTTTTCTCATGAAGGCTGAGAGGAAGTTCCATAAAGCAAGAAAGTGGTAGTATGATTTGAACTTTCTTAATATGTGCTAAAAATTTGTCTAAATTTCATAGGCTTGAAGCGAATAACTCAAGGGCCAAATTTACGAAGCACTTACGAACGTATACATCTTTCCTCAATCTTTGACGCCTTTGGTTACATTTATTAATGAGTTTACGAGTATGAAAACTTCCCAATCATCTGTTGTTATTGTTATAAACAGCCTCTTGGTGCTTCGGAGCTCATTAACTGTTTGATAATTGTAAGCAAAGCCACCAAAGATTGAGAAAAGATTTACAGGTTCGTAAGTGTTTGCGGAACTGTTTTGTGAATCTGGCTTCTAGATTCTATAATTCTTCTACTTATAGTTCTGGGTTATTTAAATTGCTAAGAGTTGGCTATAGATTCACTGAAAAAAGTGTATTTGCATGTAATTGATTGTACGGCTCATTCCGTTGACGCTTTCTTCAATATTTTTTTCATATATTAATTTCAAATAAATTATAATTATATATATTTATACATTTCTGTGTGTTTACATTTGTCAAGTAAAAACCAGCCAAGCCGAAGCAGAGAAGCAGTAACATCTTACTGTTGAAGTTTAGTTCTCAGCTTTTCACGACTAAAAAATTTACAGCATTCCTAAATTGGAAGGAGTGCTCCTTATTGACGCCGTCTTCCCCAAGGCACCGTGGTGGCCCAGATGGTGGCCACGGACCACGATGACCCCGATGAGGGCCACAACGCTCGCCTGGTCTACTCGCTGGAGAAGAATGTGATAGACGAGTCGAGCGGGAGCCCCATCTTCAGCATCGACAGTCAGCTGGGGCTCATCACCACGGCGCTCTGTTGCCTCGACCGCGAGAAGACTCAACAGTACACCGTCCAGGTTGTGGCCACTGACGGCGGTGGCCTCAAGGGTGAGTGTACGGCAAGGGGGGGGGGATGGGGGCCCTCTAGTGCACTCTAGACAGCTTCTCTGATCGATTTACCGAAGAGTTTCTAGATCTAGCATACCACAGGGGGCTTTCACGGTTGATGTACCATAGGATTCACGCGTATACCGCTGGGTTCTACAATGTACCGAAGGGGGGCTTCTATGGTGGGTGTACTTCTCTAGCGTACAACAGTGTGGTTTTAGTAGTGTGTTTATGAGGTGGTTTAACTTGAGTATACTCGATTAACCTGTCTATACCATTGGTAGTACGGAGCATCAGTGTGCGGAGTCAACTCTCTACAAGCCCCCAATCTAGTGGTTTGTGGTATAGATGGTTTTGCATTAAGGTTTTCATGCAAAATTGGTTATCCTGATACAAAAGTCTACTTCGAAATGAAAATGCATCTGAATGGATAGAAATTTCAAGAGGAGTTCCCTAGCGTTTAATTTTGGGACCAGATTTGTTCATTTAAATGAGATCGATAATGATCTATTCTATGTCTTAATTTATTGAAGACTCTTAACTGGGAAGCAAAGCTGCAACACCAAACAAGCAAAGGAGATATAAAGCTGACTAAGATATATTAATTAATTTGTCAAACTAACGATTAGCAGACGCATTTTAATGCTGATAAATGCAAATTATTACATATTGGTAACAAAATATAAAATGTTTCATGATGAACAACACCGATTTGATGAAAGTAAATGAATAAAAACACCTGTGAGTGAGTGAATAATGACCGGAGATCAAGCAGAGCACAGAAACTGGAAAAGTATCCAGTATAGAATTTTTAATTTAATTGGAAGACTTTTCGCGTTTCAATCGGAAAAAGTCATTCTATTTTTGTGGATATTTATAAAATATAATTAACAAGTAATCTTCCTCTTATCTGCACCTTAGATTGTTTGCAACATTATGAACAAACAAACTTGTTTTTATCTCATGCGCTATTGCTGTTTAATTGCCTTAGCAATTCTTGTAATATACCAAGTAACTAAGCTTAATTATGAGCTAGCACTGGCTACTCAGACACCTTTGTATTATCAAAACTGACTGTATTCATGTCATGAAGGAGTTAATTAGCCAACCTGTGAACAATCGTTTCTTATTTCTTATGGGAGTGTACGACCAACATTGTACTTCAAATCTGGTGAATTAGCCTTAGCCTTCCCTATTGACTTTTCCCCATAGCCTTAACCTCCCCATAGACTTTTCCCCATAGCCTTAGCCTCCCCATAGACTTTTCCCCATAGCCTTAGCCTCCCCATAGACTTTTCTCCATAGCCTTAACCTCCCCATAGACGTTTCCCCATAGCCTTAGCCTCCCCATAGACTTTTCTCCATAGCCTTAGCCTCCCCATAGACTTTTCCCCATAGCCTTAGCCTCCCCATAGACTTTTCCTTAGCCATAGACCTTAGCCTCCCCATAGACTTTTCCCCATAGCCTTAGCCTCCCCATAGACTTTTCCCATAGCCTTTGCCTCCCCATAGACTTTTCCCCATAGCCTTAGCCTCCCCATAGACTTTTCCCCATAGCCTTAGCCTCCCCATAGACTTTTCCCCATAGCCTTAGCCTCCCCATAGACTTTTCCCCATAGCCTTAGCCTCCCCATAGACTTTTCCCCATAGCCTTAGCCTCCCCTTTTCCCCATAGCCTTAGCTCCCATAGACTTTTCCCCATAGCCTTAGCCGTTTTCCCCCTTAGCCTCCTTTTTCCCCATATTCTTGTGGGAATATTTGTGTGTTGTGTTGGTTGCTGTGTAAATTGTCTCCCTGAACCAGCCTCTTCCTCAGGGACAAGGGCAGGGACAGTGACAAGTGTCTCCCTGAACCAGTGTTTCCTCTTCCCTGTAGGGACAGGGACGGTGGTGGTGGAGGTGGGGGACGTGAACGATGTGCCGCCGAGATTCTCGCGGCCAGAGTGGACGCTGGACGTGTCTGAGAGTCTGACCCGGGACCAAGTCCTCGCCACCCTCACCGTCGTCGATCAGGACGTCTCCAACAACTTCTCCTTCAGGGTCAGTTCTTCTTCCCCCAGACGTGAATTTAAGAGTCAATTCTTCTCCACACACACCTGACCTTCAGGGTCAGTTCTTCTCCCTACACACCTGATATCAAGGGTCAGTTCTTCTCCCCCCACACCTGACATTAAGGGTCAGTTCTTCTCCCCCCACACCTGACATTAAGGGTCAGTTCTTCTCCACCCACACCTGACCTTCAGGGTCAGTTCTTCTCCACCCACACCTGACCTTCAGGGTCAGTTCTTCTCCCTCCACACCTGACATTAAAGGTCAGTTCTTCTCCACCCACACCTGACCTTCAGGGTCAGTTCTTCTCCCCCAACACCTGACCTTCAGGGTCAGTTCTTCTCCCTCCACACCTGACATTAAGGGTCAGTTCTTCTCCCCCCACACTAGACCTTCAGGGTCAGTTCTTCTCCCTCCACACTTGACCTTAGGGGTCAGTTCTTCTCCCCCCACACTTGACCTTAGGGGTCAGTTCTTCTCCCCCCACACTAGACCTTCAGGGTCAGTTCTTCTCCCCCCACACTAGACCTTCAGGGTCAGTTCTTCTCCCTCCACACTTGACCTTCAGGGATAGGTTGTCTCCCACACCTGACCATCAGGGATAGGTTGTCTCCCACACCTGACCATCAGGGCCAGTTCCTTTCCCCCCCACACCTGACCTTCAGGGCCAGTTCCTCTCGCACCTACCTGATCCCAGCCTGGTTTTAAGGTCCAAGGGTATCACAAATATTACTCATGTAACTAATTGTGAACTAAATGCTTTTACGGACTTGAATGTAGTTATCAGTTCATGTGAGTGGAAGGTAGAGCACCTGTACACCTCCATGCTTTGTGGCACACCAGAGAAGGCTTGAAGTCCCAGCTGGGGGTCAACTTGTGCCCAACTGGCTGGCATCCTTCTGTACTGAGGATGCTCACATTGCGTTTGATAATACCATGGGATTCTGCTTTGAGGTTCAGAAACCCGAATCCACCAAAGTATGATATATATATAACTGAAAAATCCCACCCCAGAAGTGACTCCAACCCATACTGCCAGGAGCATCGTAACTGGTATGTACAGGACGCCTTAATCCGCTTGACCATCACGACCAGACAAAAGGAAGCAATAGCCGAAGCTATATGAACCACTTCCCCACCGGCACTCGGATGGTAATCTTGGGCATAGCATTTTATCAAATCACCTCATTCTTTGGGGCACACGTGAGGAACACAAATGCGAACAAGCCTGAATGGTCCCCAGGACTATATGCAACTGAAAACTCACACCCCAGAAGTGACTCGAACCCATACTGCCAGGAGCAACGTAACTGCTATGTACAGGATGCCTTAATCCGCTTGACCATCACGACCGGACAAAAGGAAGTGATAGCCGAAGCTATTTGAACCACTTCCTCGCCGGCACTCGGATGGTAATCTTGGGCATAGCATTTTATCAAATCACCTCATTCTTTGGGGTTCTTTGGGGCTTACAGTACCCAAGTGGGCATTTAAAGGCATAGACGATGTTGGTCTCCTTCAAAGCGTTCTGGTTGGTGTCTGGAGAGTTTTTCATGAGTAGATTGGCTGTTTTTTTGGTTCTATAATAAATGATCATTTGTATTTTCTGATTTTTGTCTGAAAGGATGACGTTCCTATCAACAATATCTTTCAGGACCCTTTCCTCCGTTATATGAGCCGTCGAAAAGAAGTTCCTGTAAAATAGTCTAATTGGAGTTACAAATGTTGTGTTGGTTGACTCTTCAGAAGTTGCTTGGCGTTTTACCTTTTTTTTATAATGTCTTCAACGAAACCGTTAGAGAAGCCGTTCATGACTAAGACTTCCCTTACTCTACAGAGTTCTTCATCGACTTCTTTCCATCCTGAGACGTTTCCATCCTGAAAAAGATGGAAATGTCCATATTTTTCCTGACTGGGCAGTCACTATCGGCATTGAGGCACATTCCTATGTTTGTTTCTTTGGAGTAGACTACAGTATGGAAGCCTCCGCTCCTTTCCGTGAATATTACATCCAGAAAGGGCAGCTTCATCGAGGGCGTTCATCGAAAAGAAAGGGCGTTCATCGAAAAGAAAGGGCGTTCATCGAAACTGTGAACACCAAGAAATACGGACTCCACCTGCCAAAAGTTGTTGGGGAATACAAAGCTGGATATGCCTATGGAAATGTCAAGACCCACAAGCCTGGAAACCCACTTCGGGCAATCATCAGCTAGATACCCACACCCACATACAGACTGGCTAAGTGACTCAATGGGTTGTTGACTCCTTACGTTCCCTGTGCTTTCAGCTTGAAGTCTCCCAAGGAATTTGTCGTCTTACTGCGCGGAGCACGGGCCACGGGGATAAGAGCCTCTTTGGATGTGGAATCCCTATTTACCAACGTGCCTGTGGACGAGACAATCGGGATGATAGCAGACAGAGTGTATCGTGACCCGGCTTGCACTCCTCTTGACATGCCAGAAAGCATACTCTGGAAACTACTCCAAGCCTGCACTAAAGAGGAACCCTTCGTGAGCCCAGATGGGCACATGTATAAGCAAGTAGATGGGTTCTATGGGTTCTTCCCTAGGTGTCCTGTTTGCGAACTTCTACATGGGCACAATCGAGCAAGGGTCTTAGTTGACATGGACTTGAAACCAACCATATACTGCAGGAATGTTGACTACATTTTTACACAGGTACCTTATGCCAGATGTCTGCAGCAGCTGAAGGAGGCATTTGAGCAGAATTTTGTGTTGAGTTTGACGTACAACGGGAGAACTTCCATACTGCAAGTTCTCAAGTATGGAGCGGAGGCTTCCATACTGCAGTTTACACCAAAGAAACAAACATAGGAATGTGCCTCAATGCCAATAGTGACTGCCCAGACAAGTGCAAGAGGAGTGTTGTCAACGCTTACGTCGACCGTGCTCTAAGCCACAGCTCAGGATGGAAAGAAGTCGATGATGAACTCTGTAGGGTAAGGCAAGTCCTAGTCAACAACGGCTTCTCAAACGGTTTCGTCGAAGACATCATAAAAAGAAAGGTAAAACGCCATTCAACTTCTGAAGAGTCAACCAACACAACACTTGTACCCCCAATTAGACTATTTTACAAGAACTTCTTTTCGACGGCTCATAAAACGGAGGAAAGGGTCCTGAAAGAGATTGTTGATAGGAACGTCATCCTTTCAGACAAAAATCAGAAAATACAATTGATAATTTATTATAAAACCAATAAACGGCCAATCTACTCATGAAAAACTCCCCAGTTACCAAGCAGAATGCTTTGAAGGAGACCAACGTCGTCTATGCCTTTTAATGCCCACTTGGGGACTGTAAGCCCCAAAGAACTCAGTATATAGGCAAGACAACAACAACGTCTCTTTCTAGGCGACTAACAATGCATAAGCAACAGGGAGCCATCAAGGAACACATAATCTCTTCTCACAACCAGACCATTACCAGATAAATTTTAACAAACAACACAGAAATCATCGATAGGTACGGTGATCAACCCGTTCTCGCAAATTTAATAAGTCAATATTGACTTATTAAATATGTGCATAGGTGACATACTTAACATAATAGATACCCTTAAAAAGATTCATAGAAAACATCGACCTTACCTAACCTTGTTAGTATCTTAAGATAAGCATCTTATAGCTTCGTAATTACAATTATTACCTAACCTATAACAGGTATAGGTTAAGTAATAATTGTAATTACGAAGCAATAAGATGCTTATCTTAAGATACTAACAAGGTTAGGTAAGGTCGGTGTTTTCTATGAATCTTTTAAGGGTATCTATTATGTTTAGTATATCAGCTATGCACGTAGTTAATAAGTCAATATTTACTTTACGAATTTGCGAGAACGGGTTGGGTGATAGCAGGCGGCTTGATATCGGCGAGGCACTACACATCAAAAAGTCAACACCAGCAATCAACAGCCAATTAATGCACAACTATATTCTACCTACTTCAAGACCCCGAACCAATATGGAAACAGCAAGAGGAGGTATGGGCCAATAGGCCTTCTGCAGTTACTTCCATTCATATGTTCACTTATCCAATTTATACCCATTGTTTCGTGTTCTATCTTGTGTTTGTCACTTCACCAAAAACGTTTGTACCATATCACCTCATCCAATAGAGTATAAGTACAAACAATTTGTGTGTAAATTACGTTTTTTAAAATGTAATACGAATTACGAAACGCGTTCAGGCGTCAGACAATTGAAAAATGAATTTCGGAGAATTGTTATTTTTATTACCACCGACAGTGAAGAAAAACATAAGAAATATTGAGAAGATTCGTGTTAAAATTATTAATCTTACTTTTTCGGTCATATTCAACAACATATGTTTACAAGAAAGACTGCTACCAAAATATACTAATATATATATATATATATATATATATATATATATATATATATATATATATATATATATATATATATATATATATATATATATATATATATGTCGTACCTAGTAGCCAGAACTCACTTCTCAGCCTACTATTCAAGGCCCGATTTGCCTAATAAGCCAAGTTTTCCTGAATTAATATATTTACTATAATTTTTTTCTTATGAAATGATAAAGCAACACTTTTCTCTATGTATGAGGTCAATTTTTTTTTATTGGAGTTAAAATTAACGTAGATATATGACCGAACCTAACCAACCCTACCTAACCTAACCTAACCTATATTTATAGGTAAGGTTAGGTTAGGTAGCCAAAAAAAGCTAGGTTAGGTTAGGTTAGGTAGGTTAGGTAGACGAAAAAATATTAATTCATGAAAACTTGGCTTATTAGGCAAATCGGGCCTTGATATATAGAAGTGCGTTCTGGCTATAGGTACGACATATATATATATATATATATATATATATATATATATATAAATATATATATATATATATATATATATATATATATATATATATATATATATATATATATATATACAGTATATATATATATATATATATATATATTATTAAAT